ACTAGATCCCATGATTTTTCTCCATCAACCCTCTGAACAGACAATACATGTTCAGACAAGATGTTTCTTTGGTCAAAGGGCACCTGTAGGCATTGTTCATTTTGAGGACACATGTTACTGTTGTCACCTAACTTGAGTCTGTTAGAATTTTACCTTCTTTCTCACTACAGTTGTGCCCAAAATAATTTGTACATATCATGATAATGAATAAACAGCAAAGATCCAATAATAAAAATACATAGCATTATTAACAGACTACAGGATTCCTTTTCACAATCATTTTATCCTTTTCAACCTATAAGTATTGATGAAATTCTGTTATTATTCAAAGGATGTTATTTTTTCCAACAGTATATTCCCACAAATAGAAGTAGTTTTGGAGTAAAATCTTTTGTTCTGTGTGACTGCAAAACTGGATATGTTTAAGATTTTATTGTTTACTGCAGTTCATGCATGGACATAGATGATCATGAAAATTCTGCTAAAATTGGCAAACTGGGGAATACTGTTACGACACTGTAAAACTATATCTTCCAGGGCCACACTCTGGTCACTGGTGACCAGCACACAAGTCCATCATTATATCTGCTTCTACATGGCAATGAAACAAACACATCTGGGTATGGAACGCTCCAGAGCTAGTGATTTACATAGAGGAGAACCAACATATTGATCTCCAGATTGGTTATCATTCTGCTGAATTACTAGAAACTAAACAAATACATTATAAAACAGACCAGCAGTGAAGCCAAGTGTCACAGCAGATCTTAACTGTGTGATGGGTGCTGTTGATAAGAGTAGGATGACTTTAAATTCTATAAATATTATACAGAAAGCATTAAAGTGGTAAAAAAGGTTTTTTTCCCACATGCTTGCTTTATCAATTTATAACACTTATGTACTTTACAAAACTCTGATCGATAAAAATGTAAACTTTAGGAAATTTCATATATGCCTAATTAGAGAAACCCTGGAAAAATATCCAGTTGACAAGATGACTAACTCTGGAGGAAGAACTGTTTGTGCTAACAACCATCCAGTCTCACAGAAAGGCATTTTTCCATCAAAGCACAGCCACCCCACAGGGATGTGGCAAAACACCCCTGGATATGTGTTGTCTGCACAAAACATGGGAGTGAAGTGAAGCTCGGTGTCTGTGCGCTCAGCGTCATCCTGGGCTACCACGGGACCATGCTGTGAATTGTGCCATACAAAAAAAGATTATTAAATTTCTATTGATATGGCAAAGCTTTATCATTTCATATTAATTTTTTTGTTTGCATATTAATTTTTTATAAATATAAAATAATGAAACTAAAACCAACTTGGGTGAATTATTTTGTTTAGTAAGAAACCAAGAAATGTCCAGAGGGCCGTGTGCCTTACTGTTTGGTGTGAGCGCTGCCTGCCCTGACTGGATGTTGGGTTTCCGAGAGCTGCGCAATTGCAGGGCTAATCTGAAGCCTCACACACTGGTGGGGCAGGGTGGGTGTCAGTCCTGATTTGCCTGCAGCATGCTTGTGTCACTTCAATTTTTTAAAAAGATTTTTTAAAAGAAAGCGAATGTGAATAACCACAGGAACAGACTTGTGAGTGCACACTAAAAGTCAGGGCCATGGTAAACCGTGATTTAAGGTAAATCTTAAAGGAACTGTCAAACATGGCAATGAACGAGAAATTTAAATATTTTGCTAGTTGATTAAAACAAAATCTCATTGGTAAATCATTTCTTCATATAACGAGGGGGTCCCATCCCTGATCCTCTGCCACACCCCGCCTCAGTGCTCCCCCATGCTGTCAGGACTGCCAGAGACAGAAGGCAAGAGCATGACCTGCTCTATGCTCTGGGTGGGGGGGTGGGGCTGCCTTCCGCAGGGTCCTTCCCTGCACAGGTACCCTCCCTGCTGGCTCTGCAGATAGGGCCTTCCGCTGGGAGTCATCATCACCAGCTAGTTGCCCACACACATGCCCTCCCTCCCCCAGCATCTTCTGAAACAGACGCCCTGCTTAGAAGCCCCTCTGGGCTGTATCTTTGACTTTCAAGCTTAACCTCTTTAAGTGGAGCCCAGTGTGTTCCTGTTCTCCAGCAGAAAGCCTCCACCACCAGGCTGGACCTGAGTGGAAGGGGCCCTGCCACCCCTCACCCTCTGCCACTGTCCTCGATCCCTCTCCTCTACTTCCATCTTGCTTGGCCCTGTTGCTCTTGGCCTCCTTTGTCAACCTCACTTAGGGGTCCACAGCCACTCACTGCACTTGGAAGAAAACCAAGTTCTTTGCCATTTTTTTTTTTTTTTTTGAGACAGAGTCACATTATGTTACCCTCGGTAGAGTACCATGGGGTCACAGCTCACAGCAACCTCAAACTCTTGGGCTTAAGTGATTCTCTTGCCTTAGCCTCCCAAGTAGCTGGGACTACAGGTGCCTGCCACTATGCCTCGCTATTTTCTGTTGTTGTTGTTGTCATTGTTGTTTACCAGGTTCAAACTTGCCAGCCCCAGGGCATGTGGCTGGTACCCTAACCACTGAGCTATGGGTGCCAAGCCACCTTGCCAAGATTTTCAATCCTCTGAGGGTTCTGCCCTACCAACCTGTCCCACTACTTTATGGCCTCACCTCCTTTCCCCACCTCTGGCCTCCAGACCTCACCAGCCCTTCCACTCCCAGACCCCTGGCAATGCTGGGCTTTGCAGCAAGGGTAGAGGCTTGGAGGTCATGCAGCCTAGAGATCTTAGAGATACGCCTTCTCACTGAGGCTCCACTGGTTCCAAATACCAAGATTTTATTCTTATAGAATCTCTTCCACAAACATGAACTTTTAGTTTATAGACTTAAAAATGTAAAACTTCTGAAACGCTGTCCAAAGAGTTATATGAAACAACTAATTAAATAAAGTTTTTGTTATCAAAACAGCAAACATTTCTAGAGCTTCTTGATTATTTAACATTTTCTGGAGACCTTTATACTCAGTAATATAATGTATCTAAAATAGTAGAAGAAAATAGAAAAATAAGTGTTGTGGGGAAAAACAACCAGCTTTTTAAAAAAATTTCTTTTCATAACATTTTTCCTCAAATATTTACTTATCCTATTAATTACCATCTATTTTCAAGTTCTAAGTATAAGAATGATCACATTATTTTAAATAACCTGACTTGATTGCAAATGTTAATATTATTTTAAAATTTAATTTGGGGACCTCTGTTTCAAAATTAAAATATAACAATGAATATAACAAAGTATATTTTCATTTACAAATATGCCTATAACTCTAAGTAAAAATTAAAAAAATGAATAGAACTGAAAACAAACAACAATCAGGATAAATTAGTAAATCTGGTATTTCCTTTAAATGCTAATTGAATTGCTGGCAAATTTTCAAATTTCCATTTTAGAAGTGGATTTCTGTAAAAAAAAAATTAATTGTTTGTTCCTTGCATTCAGACATACTGGAAAGGCCGAGTCACGTGAATGCAACACGGTCCCCAGGCGCCTGCAGCCCGCACAGGACCCCACTTACTATTGTGCACAGTCGATCAGCTGGTACTCATTGGACCTCTCGAAGCACGCCTTCACGCCTTCATCATCCCAAAGTTTTTTCACATGATCAAAGAACTCCTAAAGTTTGAAAAAGTAACAAGAAAACATGTGTTAGAACCTTTCAAAAAGTTAAAAGTAAAAAGAAAGTGCAAAAGAATTTTTTACAGATAATACATAAATCTTCTCTGTGGAAGTTTATACAGTAAAATGTACAGATCTTATGTTCAGTGTGATGAAAATGTATGCAGATGTGTTACTACTCAAGTCAAGTTCTAAGGCATTTTTATCGTTCCAGAAGGCCCTTCAAAATAAGACTTGTAAGTCAAACACAACACCATGTGTAAGCTTTAAATCTGACAGTATAATCTTAGTCTTTAGTGCTCAGTAATTTAACTAGTTGAACTTCCACCTCAGCAATAAAAAATGAACATCATAATGGCAAATCTGCTTTTAAATCTCCCCTGTGGGGGCCAAGGTAAGGGAGGGCCAGGTAGGTGGATTAACATTTGGCCCAGATACAGTAGGTACATAAAAAGGGAGCCTTTAAAGTCACCCTTTGGGGATAATTTATTTATTTTTGTTTTGTTTTACATTAAAAAAACCTGTGGCTCATGCCTGTACATCCTGGCACTCTGGGAGGCGAAGGCTGTGGGATTGCCTGAGCAAGATTGAGACCCCATTTCTAAAACTAATGGGGCGTTATGGTGGGCGCCTATAGTCCTAGCTACTTGGGAGGTGGAGACAAGAGTCTGAGGTTGCTGTGAGCGGTGATGCCACTGCACTCTACTGAGGGTGACAAAGTGAGACTCTATCTTAAAAAAACAAAACAAAACAAAACAAAACAAAAAAACTATAAGTGTGAACTGGCCACTGTTCTCAGTTTCACCCATTATGGCAAGCAGAATGTTCTGAAACGACATTCCTTAGCTTAAGATAAAAGGAGGGTTCAGGAATCAATAATACTGGCAAACTACCCAAAATGAGGAATGGAAGCAACTAAGGACATTAGCTGCTAAACACGAAAGGAGCCACAAATGTTCACACAACAGTCTTCTCTGTCTGCCTTCCACCTGCAGGTCCGGAGGCTCCAGGGAGCCTTTACACGCCTCACACCTGCCACAGTTCTAAACAATCAACGTAGATTCTTTGAATAAGGTGACCAGATTTTAACATTGGTAAAGCGGGACACCATTGATGGAGGGTGGTAATGGTGGTGGTGGTGGTTCTTAATTAAAAATTTGGTCTATATGGAGCAACAAAAATTTTCGTAGAACGCAAAAATAGTATTGTAATGTATTTTTAAAAATTACAATTTACAAATATAATACATTAAAAAATTATGCATAGTATTATTTTATTCTTTGGCATATTTCTCATTTGAGTGAATTTTTTTAGTAGATTGCTGCTCTTGTTTAAAAGGTCATGGCTCGGCGCCTGTGGCTAAGGTGCCAGCCACATACACCTAAGGTGGCGGGTTCGAATCCAGCCTGGGTCCGCCAAACAACGATGGACACAACTAAAATACAGCCAGGCACTGTGGCAGGTGCCTGAGGTCCCAGCTATTTCGGAGGCTGAGGCAGGAGACTCGCTTGAGCCCACGAGTTGGAGGTTGCTGTGAGCTGTGATGCCATGGCACTCTACCCAGGGGGACAGCTTGAGGCTTTGTCTCCAAAAAAAAAAAAAGGTCATGAAATTTTTCACAAGAATTTGTTAAATTATATTTCACACATAAAATGGCTTTCAAAGTCTCAACACTTAATTGTATATTCCCTTTCTGTTCTCCCGCCATTCCCTAGCTTGTCATGCATTCTTTCCAAAAATGGGGACTTTTTTAAAACGCCCTGGGACATGGGACAAATTGTTAAAAATTGGGACTGTCCCGCCAAAAGCGAGACATCTGGTCACCTTATCTTTGAAGGAAAAAATTAAAGTACTGGTACTTTTTCTTAAAGATACACAATTCTGTACAAAGGTGGAAGCAAGTATTACAAGGCCTGAAGCTTATACCATCTGGGGGCCCTCTTTGATAAAAACTCCAAATAATGACTACCACAAAAATCAGGCATGAAACTCAGGTTTTACTAGCTTTTAGTAAATCCAATTCTGTGTTTAGTTTTAGGGACAATTTTGTAAGTTACGGCACAGTGTCTGTATCTGTCTGTTACCATTATCAACAAATCCAAGTTACACAGTTGACAAAAAATAGACAATCTCTCCCTGAAGAAGAGCAGCTGAACCTCGCAATTTTTGTCTTTCTCCCTAGTTTTATGTTTCCTTTTGGAATATTCCTCTGATTCTCTCATCACTCCAGTAAAGGAGTGGTAAGAAAAAAAGGTTTCCTTGTGTGAGCCAAATAGCCACACAGACACACCTGTGTGAAGACAGACACAGCAGGCTGCTGTCAAGATAGCCGGTGACTCTGGGGACCTGTCTTCTTTCCACATGATATAGGAAAGTACCTTCCACTGCAGTGACTGAACCACAACTGCCACATTTTATTCAAGTTCACATGGGAATCATTCACACAGCTTTGCCAAATAGCAATTTTAAAAAATGACTATGACCAGAGTCATCAGTCTAAACATTATCAACAAAAAACATTGTTGAACCCTGTACCTCGTGTCTGAGAAAGGAGCGGGGAGGAAGAAGGCACCGACCAGGACACACGCTGTGGGTCAGAGGTCAGTGGGGGTGAGAAGTCCAACCCTGAGCAGAAGCGCAGACCTGGGGCTATGGAAAGCCTGGCTTAGCAGTCTGGGAGAGATGGAGGCCACAGTGGGAAGGCCCTGCTTTTACTCACTTCACATCACACTGAGACACGCGGGCCTGGCCTCACTGTGGGGGCTGCAGTGAGGGAATACTGTGCAGAGGCAGGGGTCCAGGGTCACACTTCCCTGGCACCCCTGTGCTGTGACCTGGACCTTGACTTTGGAAGTGGTTCACCCAACCAGCTGCCCACTCTCAGTGCCCTCAGACCTCCCCTCCTGCTGCTCCCTGTTTCCTGAAAAAACCTCTCCTACCTCCTTTTGTGTTAATTTCCTGTATGTCACAGTAAGGACCTCAAGCACACAACATTCCCTCCTGTTTAGTTCTTGTGCAGTTCTTATTTGTTGAGTGTACTCTGAGCACGATACTTTAACATGTAAGATCTTACTTCTGTCTCACAAAGCCGGAAGAGGTGGCTGCAAAGTGACTCACCCAAGGGCACACAGCTGTGACAGCAGGGCATCTGTCCTTTTCCACACACGTTTTTAGCCACTATGTGCACCACCACCTTTTACTAAATGTATATTAAATAATGTCCTGTCCTCTAGTTTTCTTCTGGATTTCTTTAAAACCACTATTACTAATATAATTTAGTAAATCCACTCTTAACAGTTTGATCAAAGTACAGGGCATCTAGTACAAGAAACTCTTGTTAAAGCTACACAACAGATACTCCTAAGGACCCCTTACCCCTGGAGCTCAGGGACTTGTAGTTCCAGAAGGCTCCACACAGGATGAGCCCTAACTCCTTGCGCAGGGGAAGGGAAGAGCTAAAGCCTGAAGTGAGATAGATTACAGAGGAGGGTGTGGACCCAGAGTCAAGACACAGTTTGGGGGGTATGTATTGAAAGCAATAGTAAACTAGGAACTGGGGGCACTTTGACTTTTAAATAGATGTTTTAGGTAACATTAAAGAAACAAATAACACATCTCTCTTCACTGTAGCTTCCCCATTCCACACTGGTGAACAATGGCGTTGCACTAAACACAAAGAGGTTCCCTTGGTTCTAAGTGTTTACTTTTTTTTTTTTT